TTCTGGGAGTCGAAGTCCACCCATCTTAAAGTGGCCAAGGTTGAGAAACACTGCTCCAGTGGATCCTGCATGAGGAGGGGGTTGACTAGATATCCTTTGTGGCTCTCCAACTCTGATTCTACGACATGTTTTAATGCAAATAAATGAAAAAGCCGGGGACAAAAAGTGTACCCCTTGGCCTCTCCTGCAGAGCCCGAGCATCCCCTGGGGATAAAACGTGCAAATGGGACGTTTCAGATTCTGGAACTGGAGGCATCCAAGCGACCCCTTTCCTTTTCATTTGCAAACCCGCCTGGGCCTCTCTTGCAGCGCTGTGAAAGGGCCCCATTACCCGGTGAACAGCCTGCTAATGCGTCCCCTGGCAAGGAGGGCAGAGGATTGGGGAGGGGGCTGCCTTTGCCACAGAGAGGACGCCCATTTGGCAGAGGAGAGGACGCCCATTTGGCAGAGGGCCGCTTGAGTGGAGACGGCACTTGTGGGGCTGGGGCTGGCCCCTTCTGGCAAGCCGGGAAGGGTTTCTGGGGCCACTGAGGTCCCTGGAGAGGTGGCATCGGACGGGCCTTCCTGGTTCACAGGGGACAGAAAAAGGCTGGAGATGCCCCGGCGCGCCAGCTGGTTTCTGAAGCTGCTCCGGTTGCCACTCGGGGGCGTTTGGGGCAGGCCTTGCCCCCCCCCCCCACCACAGCGGAGGAGGACAGGCGGGGCACGGCTCCTGGGTGGGGCCCCAACTGCCGTCATCCCCGGGCATGGGCTGAGGGTCACCGGCGCGGCAGTCCTGCTCGTTGGAAGGGGTGCTCAGGGGAGCTGCCCTCGGAGAGGGGCGGTGGAGCCGGGTAGGCAGCGCCCCGAGTTGGGGGACCTGCTTTGGGAGCTCTGAGGCCGCCCCGGCCTCCTTCCTGCCGTGCCGCCTGGTCTCTTGGCCGGTCTTGGAGCAAGAGCTCCGCGTCGGAGCAGCCTCCCCGCCCGTCGGCGGAAGGGGAGACGGCTCCCGCCTGGGAAGAGGGCCGGGCTGGGCGCCGGGCAGGATGAAGGCTGGGCCCGGCGCCCCCCACCCCCGGCGGCCCCTTCTTCCCCTGCTCTTCGTAGCCAAGCCAAGCCCAGGGAGCCCTCCCCAGGCAAGTCGGCGAGGCGGCTGGTGTTGACTCACCGCCCGA